CACATTCTGCATAATCTGCACTTTTACATTTTGATACTTCTGCACTCAAGTAAATGTTTGACTTTAATTGTGATAGAGTAAACATGATGTATTCATGTATTTATTTCAACTTTAATAAACACATGAATACTTCTTCTACTGCTGTTTGTGTAAATAAATCAGTAACATGATTTTAATGTGAGTGTGGCAGGAAAAGATTCACATCCAATAGACTCTGCTCCAGTTTCTCCCATGATCCATCAGTTTGTATTTACACTTGAAGTACACACACACAGTTCAGCACGTCTGCCCACCCGGCATCTTCTTGTGTCCCGAGTGTGAGAAAGTGAGTGAGAGAGAAGTAAATCAGACGAGAAATAAAACATTATGTCGTCCCTCCATGTGCGACACACAAATATATATTAAAGTGCATATATTCAATCATTTGCAATCATATGTGTGTTTTCTGAATCCATGTTGAAAACCTGCTGCCACAAGAATAACTGTAACACGATCGATTCACCCACAGGTCGCCCGTAATCCTCCTGACACTGGCCTGTGAACCTGCTCCACCACCACCTCAGTATTAATAACATGGAGGGAAACTGTGTTTGGATCACCAACGAGGGGCTCACACTCCACAGAGAATCACCGGCCCGGCCTGCAGGGTATTAAAGCCCCCCCAGATGACCACACACACCTCGCCCCTGTGAGGGTGCTGGCATAAATAAAAGTGCTCCATCCACAAAAGAGCAGGAGGTGGGGTGAGACAAAGAGTGGTATGTTTAAGATAAACACATGTTCCACTGCAGACAGGCAGGGGAGGCGGAGGAGGAGGAGGCCTGCGGGTGTACGAGTTGAAGGGGGTTTGGGAAATTAGTGGAAACTGATTCATATTAATGTGATATGGATATAGATATTGTGTGTGTGTGTGTGTGTGTGTGTGTGTGTCCCTCACCTCTTTGTCAATCTTCAGGAGCTTCTTCACGGCCACCTCCTTGTCCTGGGAAATCCACAGGGCTCTGTAGACGCTCCCGAAGCTGCCTCCTCCACAGTTCTCATAGAAGAGCAGGTCCTCATGCTTTATCTGCACAAACGACGAGCCAGGGGACGACATGGCATACTGACTCACACACACATTCACACACACATGCACACACAGAGAGAGCCCAGAAGCTCAAGTCCCCAGCCGCTGCTGCTCCAAAAGTATATATATATAGAAATATATACAATTCACGGATCAGTACGGAGAGAGTGAAGGATGATGAATAAAGAGAAGAGAAGTAGTTTCCTCGGCAGGGTCGGAGTGGAAGTTGTCAGTCGGCACAAGAGGTTGTCAGAGGGAAGAAATCAGAAAGTGCTGGAAAAGAGAGAGAGAGAAGTTTGCTCCCTGTGAGTCAGGAAAAGCCGAAGCCCCTCTGTCACTACTAGACAAGGGATTACATTGCCTGGTAGTGGTGATCCAGTGGAACTACAGTACAGAGCAGGAACACACACACACAGCGTGAAGATGAAGGGGAGGTGAGTGTGTGTAAGTTAGGGGTTGCAGTCAGTGCAGTGCAGCCGGCCTGTAGGAGACACACTGTTCAAATATGGTCACTGGCATGCAGGGCATTCCTCCTTCCTGGATAACTGTGGCTATATTAAGACACCCCCCACCGACACACACACACAGAAAGATACAGATATACAGCCCTAACCTGTGGCCTCAGACAGTAAATCAAACAGAAACAAGGACTGCCACATATACCTAAAACCATCTCTCTCACACTGCAGCTTCACACACACACACACACGTGGAGCCAGACAGGGACAGTGTGTGTTACTCAACCCAACAGGAATGACCCGCTGACATCATCAAGCCGGACAGCCATGGTGACATCACTGTGACAGTTGAGATCAGCTCTGGGAAGTTAGGACCACTCTCAGTTTGTTGACAGTAATCAAATACAAAAGTAGACTTGAAAATGATTCACTGAGTAAATACATAAAGCTTGACTAAAAGGCAGAGGGCTAGTGGCTCGTAGAAGTGTTACACCTCTGGCACTAAAGAAGGTTCTAGTGATGCCGGCTTGTTTGCTCTGGGAGGCATTGATGTGCACAGTAATCAGCTTGTTAAGAAATGTGACATTTTGTTGGTTGTGAACATTCTATGTTTTTTGACATTTTCACGTCATGAATCTTGATTTTTTTTTAAAAGCAATCCTGAAATTAGGATTTAATGACCTGCATTGTTTTATGGCTTAACTATGAGGTGTGATTGAATTTAAAGGGACTGTTGGGCCTGTGCACTTTACTGAGAGCCGTTCTTTCTCTAGTTTTCTTGTGCTCTAACAGAATGACCTGAGCCGTATGGTGTAGCAGCAAAGATCATGTCGTGACCTCAAATGTACAGAGACCATGTGACAGTCAGTGTTCTAGTGCAGCGTCAATCATTTAGATCTGATGGAACACAGAGGAATTACATGTGCCCATCTCTAGACCTCATATGGCAAAACAAAGGTATACGTTTGTGGCAAAGTCTCTTGCTACCCAGGCCACAAAACTGCATTTACAGAAAAATATTTGACATTAACTCATGAGTAACTATTTAAGAGAGAAATTTCAGTGGTAAAGATGCATCAGAGGCTGAGATATCCAAGCTTTTAGTCCCTAGTTTGAATCAAGCCCGTGATTCGAGTTACAAAACCCTTAGCTCTTCCTACATTTCCCAAGATTCAGACCCACGCTGTGGTAAATGCTGATGTCCTTCAAACTCTACAACAACTCTTTTAAACACAGACCTTCCATTAAAAAAAGGAAAAAAGAATCCTCTAAGTGATGCAATTTACTCATTTTCCTCCAGAGCAACAGAATATATTATTTCAGACCGTGCAGCTTGTAAAATAGATGATGAAGTAACTGTGTGTAGTAAAGATTAGTAATAATATACATAATAAACATCGAGGTTGGTTCACCGTGATGTTCAAAAACACGACTTGCTTTTCTTTCTCAGCACTGATGATGTGGTCATGCACTTAGATTTTACCTCCACCAATGAGATAATGTTTAAAACGACTTCACAGATTTCCATGAAACTTGGTGGACAGTTAGACAAGTTAGACGTATTGGTGCAACCTTAACTCTGCGCCTTCAATTCAGGAAATTATGAACATTTTATCTAGTTCTGCAGCAGATGTCTCCAGAAGCTGAGATCTCTTCTCGCTGGATGGAAGTGTGGAACAGACTAAACAGACATTAACTAAACAGACGTTAACTTCGGCACCACTTTTGAAGAAGGTGATCGGAGCATTTGCACTGTTAAATTAGCTATTTTTTATTTACAAGGCAGACCACACAAACAGTACAGTTACAGGCTGCTCTGGGGGGGTGGAAGCCAACCTCACGGCAGTTTTCGACTGACACACCATCACATCAAAAGCTCCTGAGTTCAGAGGAAAACTAATGACACGTCAATGTCAAGAACACACTCAAAATCTACACCCACAGATACAAAAATAAAATTACTGAACAAGGACCGAACAAAAACTGGGAGATGACGAGATTTCCCCCTCAGAGTGCCAGTTGTTCTCTAGACTCGGCTGAATCCGAGCAAGCAACTTCCCCATCTAAGATTTCTATTGGTCACAGTCGAATGGTGACAAATTTGAACACTTTTTGCGAAATCATTAGGGCTTTAATCTGACTAATACTCTGGTAAGTAGCTTTGAAATTCTATGACTAGTTAAGGGACATTGATATTCACGCTCATGTAGATTATGGAGTAAATAAGTGCTAGATTCCATATTCATCTGTATATTCAACAGGGAAAATGAGGAGTCGTCACTACAGTCTGTGGGGTTCTCTGTGTTTTCTGTCTCGGAGTTGGGCCGTCACGAGAGAAGGTTTTGCTTGACAGGCAGGTACAGATATATATCGTAAACGAGACTCATCCGGGGGGGGGGGGTAGCACAACATCACAGGACGCTCTGATAGAAATCCACTGTATAGAACACAGAGCCTATGAAGTTCAGTCATGCAGGATATTGATTCAAGTTCTATACATTACAGTTCTATCTAACAGGTCCCAAACAGCGACAGCTAATGTGGTATAAACCATCAGTCTGGGGGGGACACAGCGATGGGAGAGCAGCTGAACAGTTTGTCTGTCCAGGAAGAAGAGGCGTTTAATGGCACAGTATAAGTCCTGGATCCACAAGAGTCCATGACAGTGCTGAAGTCATTTACTGTTGTGATTTGCTACTGATAATTCAAGTTGTATAATTTCTATCGACATATCGATTGTTGTTGTTTTTTGTTTAACGTAACGTCACAGAGAAGGCGATGGTGGTGGAAGATCTGGAGCTCATGTCCTCCGAGGCTCCAGCCTGTAGGAGAGCTGCGTCAGCGCCCTCTGGTTGTCAATCACGCAGAACTTCCTGACGTAACCCCGCACATCTGCTTGGTTTTTGTTTGGTTGGCAAATGTCGGGATCTGACACAAAAGAATTGGAGAAGAAGAAGAAAATGTCATTTGAAGAATTTACAATAAAACGCAGTAGATCAATGTGATAAATGATGTACCACTCACTGAAAGGTTGACTTCTACAATGTTTCACTTGCCGAATCGTGTTAGCTATAATACGCTGAGGAAATAAAGAGAGAAATATTGGTGCGAGTGAGGAAAAATATGACACTGGTTATTATAAGTAAAAATTATTAATGTCATTATTATTCTAAAGAAAACTAATTTTGCCTTTTCATTGCACACAGAAACTCACCATTTTCTCAAAATTGACCATGTTGTCAATAAATGTCTTGTTGCCCTCGTGCGTGAAAGTCATATCTGAAAATAAACAGTGAAAATGAATGGTGGCCATGTTCTTCCCACAATGTTTTCCTGTGTGACACAGAGACTGACATTCACAGTGACTGACCTTTGAGAAGGAGGGGCATGAAGGGGATGATTGGCGGCTCCAGCTTGGTGACAGTGAGTCGGTAGGACCGGTGGTTTCTGGATGGGTCCTGTTACCAAAGAACATGACAGAGTTAATACCTAATACACATCGAGGTTGGTTCACCATGATGATCAAAAACACGACTTGCTTTTCTTTCTCAGCACTGATGATGTGGTCATGCACTTAGATTTTACCTCCACCAATGAGATAATGTTTAAAACGAATTCACAGATTTCCATGAAACTTGGTGGAAGGATGGGACATGGGCCAAGAAAGATCCCATTGAACTCTGGTGCAGATCCAGGAATTTTTTAAAATCAAGACATGTTTACTGATCTTAATGAATAAATCAGACATGTTTAGGGGACTGATTTTTACGTGTGTGCAATTTCCACAGACGCCAAAGTGCTTGCTCATTGTGGGAACTGTTGGGTTTCTCTTTATTAATATAGTTTTAAGGTCTTGACCTTCAATGTAAAGTGCCCTTAGATAATGTATATTATGATTTGGCGCTATACAAATAAAATTGGAGTGGATTGAATTTCGTGCATATCCAAATAATTATCTGGTGTGTGTATCTGAAATAGGTATTCAATATGAAGTCCACACTTTCTGTGCATCTTCAGTAGTTTTTAGAATTATGTCCAAAAAAACATGAATATGAGGTGACATCAAACAAACCAGATTTTTAGATGCTGTAAGTTTCTTATATTTCTGCTGCTTATCCTGTTAATGGCCCATTACAGACATAATCAAAAGCCACTTTTGTTTTGAAATGCAGCTTACCATCATGCTCTCAAACTTGGCATAGAACTTCTTAAACTTGGAGGGGAGTTTCTGCCAAAAAACAGAGAAATAAGTTTAGCAACAAGAGAACACAACAGAGGTTTGAGATCGATACATTTCTGGACGAAGATGTTTTACCTCCCACGTCTGGCTCAGTCGGCTGACAGCTGGATTGCTCATCCCCATAATAATGGCAAAAAACGAATTCAGGTTCTTAAACTCTCGACAGCTGCAGACAAATAAACACACAAGTGAGAAATGAAGCATAGAAATGAAGGACTCCTCCTCTAAGTGCACGTGTACGTGGGTGTGAAGCATGTAAAAGTCTGCAGCAGGTCCCACTCACTGTGCAGCTATCTTGATGAACTTCTTTAGGAGCTGGACTCTCTTGCTGAGCTGTCCGCAGAGGCACACTTCAGTGACGACCCACAGTTGAACCTGGTTGAATCTCCGCAGGAACAAGTCCAAATTCGCCGTGGTTCTCCTAAAGCTCTGCCGGCCGAACGTGTGATAGAGCAGCTCGTGCTGAGGGAGACGTGAGGAGAAGTAGGTTTAGAGTTCATCCAGTGGACAGGTCCGGTAAAAGCCAACTTTGAATAAAAGGTAACATATGTATGATCCAAAACCGTTATCTGACTATAAGACTGTGGTGGTAACATATCGTAGTCACCACTCCCCTGAGATGGTTTTCAGTGTGTGCGTGTGCGTGTGTGATACCTCATGTACACAGCTGAAGAGCTCCCAGTCATACATGGTCATCTGGTAAGCAAGGTCCTTAGAGCTCATCAGCTCAAAGGTTGACATGGATCCTGCAGAGGGGCCCTCCTGCTCCGGATGAGGAGTCTGAGACGCACAAAAAACAAAAGCACATATAAATTCACAAGCAGAAGAAATAGTGAGCACAAGTTCTCACACAATAATTAATTAAAAATATCAATAATCATCTCTTACCAGATTGCTGAGCTGTCCACGTGGACAGGCAAATAATCGCCCGTTGATGCTCACAGTCGAAAACACTGATACGTCATTAGGCTTCAACATTTGCTTTTCTGTAACATGAAGGGAGATAGCTCAGCTGCAGGTCCCAGATACTGCATGTCCCAACATTTACTTAAAGGTACAGTGTGTAGAATTTAGTGATATCTAGTGGTGAAATTGCATGTTGCAGCTGAATACCCCTCACCTCACCCTCCCCTTCCAAACATGCAAGAGAACCTGTAGTAGACTTCAGTTGTCATAAAAACTCAAAGATGTTAAGTTTGTCCAGTCTGAACCACGGTTAAAACATGGCAGATGTAAATATAAAGTATTTAAATATAAAGGGCCTGTTCTATAGATCCCTTTCATCTAAATCTTACACACTGAACCTTTAAAGACACTGGAAACATTCATGTACAAGAAGCCGCTGAAAAGACAAATGATCAGTGTTCTTACCACCGGCAGAGCTGAGGTGGACCAACACCAGCTCATCTGTGGTGCAGAGTTTGTCGGCCACAGCACCAATCACTTCTCTTCCTGTTGCTGTCACGGCGACCCGGATAGTTGTGTATGTGTGATCGCTGCAGTAGACCTTTAGTAAGACTACACACAGACAGACACACACGCACAAATACAAACAAAAGGTATCCTGAAATACAATTGTATGGTACGTGAACACATCTGGTGAATGAATAAAATGCCCAAGATGAAGATTCATTCGTCCAGAACAAAATAAACAGGAATGCAAGTCCTGCAAGCAGCTTGATACAATGAGAATCATACTGGAGATTTGAATTTTCTGTACTTACTGTCATCGTGATTCCTAATGGGCTGTTTCTTTTGCAGCCTCTCCTCTCCGTTGCTGAATTGTCTTATGAGGGTTTTCTGTTAAAATTACAAGGAACAACATGTCAGTATCCACATCACTTTAATGCAGCATTTTCTAGTAAAAGTGTGAACATACCTTTTTTGTTGCTTTGGCTTCTTCTGAACTACAAAGCAAAAGAAGCGTAGAAATAAAGATGCAATAAAGAAACATGAAGAGAAACTTTAATGCTTGGGAGCTGAAAACCTACTGTAGTTTGACGATTTTCTCCAGGTCAGGCACTAAGTCTTTCAGAGCTCTCAGCATCCGAGAATCATTTGATAGACTTCCATACAACTCCTGCACAGAGAGACGGAGAGAAGGAACCACGTTCAAAATCATGCATAGGACTGTGTGCAGATCGTGTCATTTACTAGATTTGAAAGCTTTTGTTTACCTCCAGGAAAGAGAGTGCCGCAGGCTCCTCCTGCAGCAGGTATGAGTGTGTGTTGGCCCAGCGCAGGGTGATAACCAGGGCTCGTCTCTTACTGTTGATCGCATACTCCAACCTCTCCTGCTCAGAGCCGGGCGGAGATGCCGCATGGTAGGTGCACACGAGGTTAAAGATGAACATAAAGATAGATCTCGTGTTTCTGACACCGTAAACACACAGACAGTGATTTGTTGCTGATTCTGACCTTACAGCTAAAGCGTGAATCTAAACAAATCTTCACTGGGGCCAAATTTATGTGATTTAAGATAAGACCCATGGTTGGGCAGAGTCTGCAAGCAGAGGTGGAGATAGTGGAGAATAACTCAAGAACATTTGTTTATTAGGATGGAGGACATGACAGCTCCCCAAAAGAGAATCAAAGCGTCTCAATTGCCACCTGGTGGCTAGCTGCAGTATAGGTCATAAATCCTCCCTCCTCCATATTTGTGGATGGGACATGGACCAAAACAAAAAGTCAAAGTGGAAATCAAAGAATTTTTTCTCAAAGATGGTTTCTGTCATTTAAGGTAGTTCTTCTTACACCTAACGGTGTTTCTGGCAAGTTCAGTTTTAATTGGTTAATTAGTTATTTGATGCTATTGAAACATCATGATTGGCAGGTGAGACTGACTCGCCATTGGTTAAGTGTGTGTATCAGTGAGACCTTGTTACTGCGGCTTCATCCCAGATCGCTATCCTGAAGACTCTGCCTCCAAAGATGACAGCGTTCATATTTTGGCTTCATTTCTGGACAGTGGGAGGAAGTGGAGACATGTCGTCCATCTTCATATACAGTCTGTGGCTGTAATTAACTCACTTCACTGCATCCGTCAGTATAAATTAAGGCAGTGTCTATTATGTGCAATCATGGGTGCAGCCGCTGTAAAACACAAGTGGCTGTGTACTTGTACTAAAATGACTAAGACAACAAGAAAAGACCTTCTCGTCTGGGATTACAACTTGTTACTATGGTGTGAAGTGGTGAGGACTCAGTCAGCAGTTCATTAGTGCTGGATGGTAAACTGCTGCTTCAGCGCTTCCACAAGCAGAGCTGCAACTGGCACAGTTGACATGCTGTCAACATAACATGTTGGCTACTGTTCTGATGTCAGTGCACCTGATAAGTGGCTATCACAGATATAATATGAGTTTTAAAAGGAAATGCCGTAGTACCAGGGCAGAAAGAGCAAGAGAGCGTGAAGGCAGAAAGGATATTGTGCCATGAGCAGAGGACAGAGCTGGCTGTTGGCCATGAAGACACACTGCATGAGGACAAAATCATCCACTGCTGGGTCTGACATGAGAGGGAAGAGAAGGAAGAGAAGGAAGAGAAGGAAGAGAGTCAGAGGGGAAACGAAGGAAATGAAGTGCAAGAGAATTAGGAGGCTAAAAAAGATTGTGGAAAAAGCCACTCATCATATTCTTCTATTCTTCCACGTTTATCTGTAATGCATTTGATATCAAGCCTGCACAACCTCTGATATGTCTATATCAACTTCAGTGTTTTAGGGTTTAAAGAAATCAATTACCTACAACATACTATCACAATAAATGATCTGAGCTCAACAGAAATGTGATGTTTCAGAGCAAAAATATTATTGTTTGAACAACATAAGTAGCTCTCAATATACAACTACATGCAATGTATAACACAAGTTAACCTCAACAACCAACTTTTAAAACATCTCATATGCAATGTCATATGTTTTTTCTGGCTACCTGGTTCACTGTGATGTATATCCATCCTCATGGTCTCCAGGAAGTGCTCAAGAATCTTCTCTGGCGTTCCTGATATCACAGTGTACCTTTAACAGTGTTAAAATAAAAAATAAAATAAACACTTTAAAGCAGAACTGATAGAGGGATTGGCATAAAAGTTTTGTGTTTACATCTAGCTGTGTCAGTATGTGTCAGTATTGTTGGTTCTACATGCGGACATGTGCATCTAAACATACACATACTTGATGCTTCCCAGGGTGGAGGTTCGAGGACTCTTCTCTAACACCAGCACGGCCTGTTCGTGTTCTTTCAAACGCACTGTGTTGGCTTCCACATCCTGCAGGAACAAAACCCACAACACAGTGTCACTGCACATCAAATAAGATGTTTACCCTATCTGCAAAATATGTGATGTGTATTTTCGTGTCCGATATGTTGATGTGCGATGTCAGAAGCAGAAAAACTTTGTCATATAGGCAATGTTGTGCTGAAAGACAGATGTCAGACATTGGAAAGGGAACATTTTTTTGAGACGGTGTATAAAGGCCAAATCAAAAACATGTGATTATGATGTGTATTTGTATTCATAATTATTCTCCATTATATTTTAATACTATATTAAGTGTCTTTGAGCATTGTTTAAAGCACTATAGAAATAAATAAAAAAATACTATTATTATTATTATAATTATTAAAGGATTCAAAAACATCCAAATTAGCCCAGGACTCTAAAAGGCTTAATGTAATACACCTTACATACCAGTGGGGGGAGACAACCATTACACAGCAGTACCAGACACAGTGCAGTGCAGTATAACATTTGACGGACCGAATAATACAATTCATGTGATTTTTCCTTTCATGCATACATCTACATTTTGACTTGCAGGTTGACACAGTTGATTCAGTACTGACTCTGTAATTAGATGCTTGTGTAACTCTGGGTGTCCCATCAGACTCTCACCCTGAGTATCCTGTTGAAGTCCTCCTTGTCCACACGCAGGAAGTGGCAGTTGTCCTCTCTTAGGACAATGGAGGCAGCTCGAGGTGAATCTGTGACCAGTGCCAACTTCCCAAAGTCATCGCCCTCATGGAGTGTGCACACCACACCCTGAGGCAAACACAAACACACACACACACAGACAGACACACACACACACAGACAGACAAACACAGAACAAGGTATAAACAAAGCTCATACACAAACAGCTTACTAGTTACTTTAAGCCCTGAGGGCTCAGAAAGGAGCAGGAACACTTAAGAATGGTTAAGAGTTTGTGTGTGTACAATCCCTGAAGGCATTTAATCCCAGTGATGAGTCATGGTGAGCTGAGCAGTTTCCCAGAATCCACTGCTGGTGGTTCCCGGCCTCAAGGGAAAATACCAGCAAACTGCTGCTCAGATCCATACAGACATAATGAGCAACACACACACACACAGACACACACCTTGCCATAGATCACCACATTGACAGAGCCCTTCTGGATGATGTACCATGATGTGCCCTCCTCTCCTTGGTTAAACACTGGAAGATAAAGAGGACATGTACACACGTGACTAAACATATTATTCATCCTGAACACCCGAGGATTTCAAACTGCAGGCGCTCTCTCCCCCAGGGGAGGAGAGGAAGATTTTAAGGGATCCAAACACAGACACGATACAAATATTTTTAGATATTTTAGAGCCTGACTAAAAATTCCTGAGGAAATCATTATCTCCAATGTCCATCACAAACAAATGTCTATAAATACATTTACAAATAGGAGGTTAAAGACGCTCATTATACCTCAGTAAATAATAAAAATCCCCTTGGCTTTAATCCCAAGGTGTAAAAATATCAACATATCCCAGTGTTTAAGGCGTTCTTTATTCTTAAAAATAAGTTTGCTTCTCTGCCTCCACATCTGAAGACATGTTGTGACACTACCACAAGGCAACAAATACAGACAAAGAAAAATAGCTCAAATAGGAGCCTACAGCAAACTGTCTAAAACCCTGCTACACAAACAAACATACAGTCAAAGTGAAAACTCACACACGGTTCCAGCTTTTGCATGTGACTCAAAAATCACAACGCTTGCCAGTTCCCTCTTCACCTGCAAAGAACATACACACAGTTTCAGGATGAAGGTTATATTCTTGATGTGTTTTAGCAGATCGCAATATCTTTCAATGACAAGATCATATTAAGAGTACAATGACAAAGTTCCGAGTACATGTTTTTGTTTGCTGTAACTTCTATATAAAAGCACTGTATTCAGTAAATGAATGATGGTCGGTGGGACTAAAAACTAGTTAACCCTGCAATAGAAATGGTTTGAAGGTGCCTGCATTGGTTTTTACTGTGATGTCGTTTCTATAATTTTCAATTTCAACTTCACATCACTAAACTCCATACAACCGAAGCTAATGGGTTCGGAAATGGTTTCTCACCAAATTACATCAAATATACCGATCCAAAGGATTTCTAAATATAAAAACATTTGGGTTTGAATGTGCTTCCTGTGATTTGCAATGCTGTAAGAACATGATTGGATTGTGTAGCTACTCATGTTCATAATTTAGCAGGAAGAACACTTCTGTGTAGATTCGAGACCTCCTCCACATGGCGCATGCTTTACCCATTACACTGGTAAGAGGATCGCTGACTGTGACACCAACTTCTCCCTCAACTCTTAAACTCATAAAAAAAAAACCTGTCCCATGTGGTTCTGGTGAGTGAGGAGTCTCTTTGGAAACCTGTACTGTTCCTTTAAGAAGAGAAGTGGAGACTAACTCACAGTGTTGGAGAGGTGAGCTAAGGCCTTGATGTGAAGCAGCTCATCGTAGATGATCTCAAGGTCATCTCCTGTCCTCTGACCAGGCCTACAGAGACAGAGACACACACAGACGCACAGAAACACACACAGAGACACACACACACGGGTTAGTCAGAATGAGCTCACCAACATTTCATGCATACACTCCACCATTCATCACACTGAGAATATTGCTGATGACACATCTTAATGCTAAAATGATGATGTTGGAGAATAGTCACTACGATAATACTGAATTTAGTGTATCATATATGTAGCATAAGGTATTATCATGTGAAATGATACAGGCTATATAATGGTTTGGATTTAATTCTCTACAGTATAAATGAAAAACAAGAAATATTGCCATTGAGCAGATATTATGTATGAAAAGTGGCAGGCAGTAGGAATGGTGAAATGAGCTTCCTTAATTTACACAATTAAATGATATATTGATATCAAATCTTAATGTGTTGCCAGTTTCATGTTAATGCATTATAATCGGCTGACTAACGATTTCCTGAGGATCATGCACAGCAGGGCATCAGGGCCAATCTGAGCGAGGAAGAGGATGGTCTCCGGCAGCTCCTCCTCACTCTCCCTCTTCTCCTCCTCGCTAGGCAGCGGCGTGTCCTCCTCGTCATCATCAAGGAAACGGTAGAACAGGTACTTGTCCTGGAAGCCAAGCTCCTGGTCCACTGAAGTGAAAGACGGCAAGCACACACGTGTCAAAGGTCACATGTAAACATTCAAACAGAGTTGTTTTGTTTGGTTTTTTTTCATCTCAAAACATCATTTCAGATATGATCTGAGTGTGAATCTAAGATCAAGACTAAATCTATATTTTATATTCATGCTTTAAAACTTTATATATGCCTGGATTCAAAACTCTAAAATGTAAAAGCACTAAATTTGAATATATGCATTTAACGATATGCAAAGTAATACTCAGCTGGCAGAGGTTTGGGACGTGCCTGCAGTTTATCATGACAACTATGTGATTGTAAGTAACTTGGCAGCATGCATCATGATGATAAAGTCATAAAAACAGTTCAGTGTAAGCTACCATGGTTTAGCACCCCTTCCTCCAGCAGTGCCTGCCACATCCCGACAGCGTGGGACCGCGTCAGCACACATGCACTCTGCAGCACCAGCCAGTCAACCAGCTCTGTGCCGACACAGCACTGTCTGCAAAACACACGAAAACACACGATTACACAAATAGTAAAGTGCAGAGACATTAATAGTAGTAGTCCATGTATTTTTAAATTAAAGTTGTGTACAAATGTAAACAATCCTACCTGTACGTCTTGAGGTGGTACTTCCTGTCTCGAATCATGTGTGGGGCTCTGGACAGGATGGCGTTACGTAGAACCTTCCCGGCTCTCTGTAGTTTCTCTGAGGGAATCTATACCAAACACCAGGGAGGCAGAGTGAAGGGGTGTTGTTTGGAATCCAAGTAGCAACACTTACAATACTTTATTCTTACTCTGTGCTGCAACCTTTGTGTTTAAGAGTAAAACTAATCCTCAACCACGTCTAAAACACTAGAATTACCACCATGCGCCTCAATTACCTCCACCAACCAGTGCAGGTTCAATCCAGAGACATTGTTTCCAGATTCATATGAGATCATCATGACCTTTAACCACTAAAATATGATGAATTAATCTTTAAGTCCAAGTGGCAAGGCAGACTTCATTTTGTGACGTTGCTGTGACTTTGATCTTTGAACATCCAAATCTAATCAGTTCATCTGTGAGTCTAAGCGGCCATTCATGCCATATTTAAAAGGATTCTCTCAAAGCCTTTAGGCGGTTGTATATGGACGCAGCTGCTTCTCGCTGTCCAACCAACTTGGTGTTTTAATATTTGTACGTATATGTCTACATGTCCGTCTACTTTGAGGTACAGGTATAGTCGCCAGGTTCTGCTTGACTTTAACCTTGACCTCCAAAATCTTATCAGGTCATCCTAGAGTCAGGCTGAATGTTTGTGCCAAATGTTCCAATGGACCAAGATACATAGTTTCATCTGACAGACTAATGTTTTGGAGAAAATGTGAGTAATAAAAAAATTACTCAAAAATTACTCATTTTGAAAATTGATCATTTTGATTATTGACCTTTATTTTGATTGCTGCAAGTGATATATATGGAGCACTCATAACAGGAAACACAGCATCACAACACGACACATATAAGCAAACACATCCTGCAGATCACAGCTGCATCTCAGACAGAGAGGAAAACGGCAGATGTGTACGCACAAACACACAAACACACAACTGCTATTGAAAACAACAAAGAAAGGCATGCTAATTGGGCAGATGGGATCTTTCTTCTATGTGCATGCATTAGTTAGCATTAGCATATGTACAGAGGATCACAGCTGTGAGTCCTCACTTGTCTCTTCACAGATCACACACATTCTGACGTTCTGATTGGTTCAAAAAATAGACGGTGCTCGCTTTTATGACATTGTGCTCCGTTACACTATGTTCTTATTATCACGTTGTTCACAAAATACATGTTTTTCTGATCAAGTAGCTTTCTCACATCAAAATCACTCATCTACTGGACTGAAAGAGAAATATACTTTCGTGCTCAGCTGTCAACACAGATATTCTGACACAAGTAGAGAGGCCTCGAGGAATCAAACGGAGGCTACCCGGCCGCCGTGGTTTGGTTCATTCATGTTTTGTGTTAGCTTACTTCCAAGATCTGGTTGCCATCAGGTTGCCTTATTATTACCTCCTACACAAACCCAAGACAACTGTGAGGTAGAGTGGGTGGTTACCTTGTTGTGAGCTTTGTTTGCAGAGTCGGAGTTAAGGTTGTCTTTGTCTGTGAGTCCTGACGAGCAAAAACAGTCATGAGCATGGTGCATATGAAATTTTCTGCAGAATACACAAACTATTCATTAAGTAGCTTATTTACTAAATGCTAAATCGTGCAGGGTAACATGCTCTACCGCACAAAGTATCCTGATGAGGTGGGAAAGAAGTAAAGGATCGTAAAATATACTCTTTATACATGAAATAAAAAATAAAGATCTCCTTCTTCCTTAAGAGTCATTCATTAAACCACATTATGCTTTTTATGTATCAGCAACATTTACAGTGCTTCTTTTATTTCAGTGTTTGGGTTGAATGTTAAATGGACTGAATATATATATATATATACTGTATATAGTGCTTTTGCAGTCTTACAACCAATCAAAGCATGTTACAGTAGAAGCCGCATTCACCCATTCACAGACATATTAATACAGCGCTTTCTCTATCACACACCATTCACGCACTGTCTGTGCAGCCGTCAGGGGCAATGTGGGTTCAGTATCTTGCCCAAGGAGAGCTTAAAATGCAGATTGGAAGAGCAGGGGATCAATTCATCAACCTTCTGGTTAGTGAAAGACCCTCTCAACTTCCTGAGCCGGTGTGTGCTTGTGTGTGTGTGTGTGTGTGTGTGTGTGTGTGTGTGTGTGTGTGTACTCACTGTCATTGTTAGATCCACTCTCCATCGCTCCATAAGGAGGGGCCAACAGTCCAGCCAGGCTCTGACGATGCTTCTAAAAGACAAAAAGACACACAAGCACTTTTAGCCAGTGTCAGATTTAAACACATTTACACCTCAGCTCTCACATCATCTTCTATAAAACGTCAAAGTCTTGTACGCACACACACACACACACAGCAAATATCCCTCAAAACAAAGCCCTTTGTACAACTGAGATCATTTACATGCAGAACAACTAACATTATATAACACACAAACACACACACAGCAGCATTCGAAGCAGGGTTAATGAGAACAACCAATGCTGCTGTGAAGTGTGTACAGATGTTATCCCTACAGCTGGTATAAATAATAAACTGTGTTTTCATTTCTACAGCAGAGACATCCAATACACACAGCAGGTAATTATGAGCCTGAATGTGCCACTGGTCATCGGCAAGGTCATTACCAAGCAACCCATGCCCTCTGAGGACAGACACACACACACACTCACACAGTGAGAGAGAGGGAGACAGAGTGGACGTCTGTTTGACTGTTTGACACAAACAGCCCTTCTCTGTAACCAAGAGGACAATCAGATGATTGACCAGATCCCAATATTAAAGACAAACATACGAAATCTATCTCCGGAGGTTTCACTTACAATAGTTGAAAAAAAAACCCAACACAAATTGACATAAAGTATGAAAAGTGAAAATAAGGTACTATCTTCCCCACATGCACACTCTGGACTACACAGACAGTGGAGGAGCAGGACTCACCTGAGGTAACACACTCAGCTGCCGAGAACCCCAGAGAGCTGCCCTCTGCTCCGTTACAACTCACACACACATGCCACAGGACAGCTTCCTGCTCAAAACAAGCCACTCTCTCTATATTCTCTCTCTCCCTCTCACACAGTTGCCTCAGTGCCTCTCTCCGTCTCCCGCTCTCCCTCTCTCACCAAGAACCAAACCACTTTGCCCCTCGCAGGTTACCACGGTGATCTCAGTCACCGTGTGACTGGGCTGCTCCGGCGGTGGAAGAGAAAGAGGGAGGGAGAGACGGAGAAAGCAACCAGAGGAAGTGAATGAAAGGAGTAGTGAGGAGGGAGGGAGCGAGGGAGCGAGGAAAAAAGAAAGGAAGCGGGCGAAAAAGACATTGTTATGGAGATTTTTATGGTTTAGTTCTATTTTGTGGATTAAGTTTTACTCTGTTTTACTTTGTATACATAGTCTTATTTTTGGGCCTCTCTAGACCAGGATGACAGGTCATATACTTAGTCTGTCTGTCTTACTGTTCATTAGCAGGATTATGCAAAAACTACAAGGTGGATAACCATTAAACTTGTAAACACCCAACTCTCTGATGGTATTATTGTAATATCAGATGGACACATGCTTCTGCAAGATTCATTTTCTGAGGCCATTTCTAGATTTTGCAGTAAAAACATGCATTTAAAATGTAGAAGGACCGTGCAACTTTACAGTTGAATTCAATTGCAAGGCACTTCTCATACTATCAAATGTTTCAGCTGTAATATTTACATTATTTCATATATTATTGGAAAGAAAAAAGTAATACAAATATTGTTTATTTAATTTGTGTAGCCTGTGCCATCATAAAATGTAATGTGATGTAATCATCATCAGTGGGTTATCCTGTTAATTCATTTTACAGTGATTTTTAGCAGCATGTGTTTTTGTTAATTTCCCACATTGCAAGTATGTACATTTATTCCTGTTCATTTTTATGCATTTTATGATTATTTTGCACAAAACTAACAGGATTAATTACGTGTGCATTTGAAAATTACTTGCCCTGCGCATATGGAACCCTAAAAGTTAATCTTACTTTATAAATAATAATAACTTCTCAGGAGTTTGCATGAAGCACTGATGAGAATGATTTAACACAGACCGATCAAGGATCTTGATGTTTGTGTTCTCATTACAACCAGATCTCCAGGATGACTACGGTCCCAATATCCTCCTCCTCCAGCTTGACCTGGGACACGTCCCAGACGGATGAATTTGTGTAAACCAGCCAGGCAACACATCAGCAGACTGATACACTGTTTATTTGCACATATCCATCAGAAAGAACAAGCTGCTGTACATTCACACCCTGTTTATTCACCTCACTGCCACTTAGTGTTAGAATTATGGAGCTGCGCTTTCTTTCTTTCATCCTTTCATCAAACACATGACTACATTCATCCTGAGGCTTTATAGTCCTCACCACACACGCGGTGCACACAAATTAACCCCAGCACTTACCCACACACCCACACACACACAAACACAGACACACACATAGACACATGCACACAAACATCCTTTTACTATGAACTGAATGAAATCCAAAGCAGGACAACCCTGGGCTATGTTTTCTGCTTCATGTCTACTGTCCTAAAATAGACAACACAGCGAGAGACTAAGTGCACTTAGGCGACAAAACAAAACACTACAAGATGGCTGGCACCCACGCTTTAGTAATCGTTTGTTGTCTTATCTTGCTTTTATCATTTCCTGTGGAATTAAATGGAATGTATTTCCCCATTAATTCATCTATTAATAATAATACTGACAAATTGTACTTAAGAATAGAAAGAATAATTATTGTTCAATACTGACACTAAGTAAGATGTGCTTAATAAAACTATCTGGGTGGATTTGGAATCAGATTTTGAGGTGCAGAAGTGTCTAAGGGGGAAACAGAAAATTAATGTTTTCCCAATAATGAGAAATAAAATGTCCTCTTGCAACTGTATTATATTATATTATCACTCTAAGTATGAAAGGAATGATATGTACGTGGAAAAACTAAGAAAAGGCTAAATTAGTTTGCAATCTAAAAGAAAATAGAACCTTTCAGTTTTGACAATAAGACAAAAAGACAAAGCGCAGAGCAGACTGCCTGTGGGTGCTGACTGTGACGCAATAGTAAACTGACCCGACGCCCTGCCAGGACTTCCTCTCCAAGTGAGACCCCGTGAATGGAGATGGTGACCTCAACAAGGAGGCCCAGAGAGAGGCAGTGACTCCACTGCCAACTCCCAAAGATGATGCCAGAGTCCAGGCTTAAGCCATGTTTCTGAGTACTTTTTATTCCACCAGGAGTTTTTTAGTTCATAGTATTTGTTTGCATTATCTAAAGACGCGAGATGGGTCTGATGATGAGCCTGTGTGCTTCAGATAAATGGGCGGATGCAGGAATCCTAATTGTGAGAGCGTTTTTTGACATTTTTATTATCTCCCAGGCAACAGCTCATGGATCTTGATGAAACAAATCTATCATATCTGCAGGACTATAATTATTACTGATATTTATGAGCGTGTGCAATTTGGTGCAGATCCAAATCAAAAATGTGGATCTAGTGAATTGAATGTGGTTTCATAAGGGGACTGTTGGGACTTGGTGGAGGTTTGTGCTCTATTGGATTTTTGTGAAGTGACCTCAAAATATCTGCCATGGGACAAACCAGGATTTGGCATTTTTTAACTGAGGCGGCTCAGGATAATCAGCAGATTTCAAAAGAACACCTCAGATTCCTGTGTAACTGCTTCTCATTCCAACACAATAAAATAAGCTGTCAGTCCATAGATACCTGAGCCACACATCATGTTTGGTTGGGTGCATAACCTCTTGCACTGTAAATGCTACAATGACAATCCAGTGCAACACACACACACACAATCTATTTACCCCATCCCTTCACTCCCTGTACCTTACATAACTCAATGTTGCATGTCACCTGAGGTGTGTATCTAATAAGGGGAACAAAAAGCAAAGTTGTGGTGGACAGCCCTCTTGTGGTTAAAAGCACAATTACAATGCGTGTTTGTCTTGAAAGGGAATCAGAGTTAATGTTGAATCATCAAGTTCCAAACGGTTTTTAACACACTCTCTCTCTCTCTCGCTCTCACCTCCCAGAGGCTCTTGAACTCCCTCTGCTCGATGCGGAGCAGCTCGCTGGTCTCTCTGCTGACAATGGTAGCGTGGCGTGGTGTGTTGTCCAGGATCGACTCCCCGAACGCCGTCCCAATCCCCAGTGTACAAATAGTGACTGCATCCTGCACGCAAACACAACATATTTGTTGTGCAGTCAGTGATATGGTGTTTTATAGCAGTATAATGAAACACTAAACTCACTGAGACAGTAGAGCAGTCATTATCAGCGATACGTCTAAGGTTTGCCTTACGATCATGGACATGGTAAGCAGACGGATTAATATATGGAAATGAATGCAAATTAATTCAAATATGAGGGATTGGTAAACAGAGGCTACTGTTAGGAAAATATCTGGAGGTGCTGGAAATAATTGGACAGGAAAAGTAAACTGACACACACAGCACACACAGTATATCCACGCTGTCCATTGATCTAGACAAATACTCTGCATGCTATGGAAACCTTTTCAGCTGTCCAGACTGACATTTCAAAGATTGCCACAGAAACTGGGCCAGCGGTGGCACTTTAGGCAACATACAGTACATGAAAAGGACATTTCACAATGGGGAGGCTCCTTATCTCGGTCTTTCACTAAGAAACAAATCCTCTCTCGCATTCTCCCTCTCTTCTCCCACATGTCATTCTACTCCTCTATATTTACATTAGGGAATAAAGCCAGGCACAGAGCAGGATTCTCAATGGACTTGTTTTCTGTGCCATGGCAGATTTGCTGCGACATATTCAAGCAGGGAAACGTAAACTAATGTAGTGAAACAAAGTCGGCAATAAAGAGAGTCGTGCTGGACCAGCTCTCTGACATCACGTGGAGCAGCCTGGAGCTTGACAGAGGCTTATGACAGAAAATAGTACAAGGGGGAATATTTATATGGCAGCCATGACAAATGATGCATTTTCAAACCAAATGTCATTATTCATTCAGTCATTGGTAATTCACAGGATAAAAGCAGAACTGACACAGGAACAGGAAAATAAAGTGAGCAGGTTATTGTGTCTGTAGCTTCAATCTGAGCAGTAACAATTGAATTTGATGTTACCTGGTGGTTGGCTGTTTCTGACACTTTAACATCCAGGGAACCCGAGAGAACAGCATACCAGCTGGTGCCTATGTCTCCCTGTCGAAACACTGCAAACAGTGGAGTACCAGCACGTCAAAATACGTTCAACACATTCAACACAGACAGACATATGGCTCCTATCATACAGTTTAACCAGTGCAGAGAAGATATCAATGATATCAATTTATGTTCACATTTAACAAAATCTGTTTATTTTCTGTATTATTTTCAAATTCTATGTATTTGGTTGTGTTTTGCTTTTATTTTGTTATTTGTGATAACTGTGATAAACTGTTAAATCATAGGGCCTGAAGCTGACATATGAAGAGTCATTGCCATTTCTATATGATACACAGATCAGCCAATATACTGGTATCAGACATTTTTCACTACCTATTATCTGTACCAGCACAGGCCCCCAAGAATCCCCATTGGCTCTTCAATACAGAAACCTTTGGTTCACATCCTCTTACATTTGCATGTGAATTAAACTGAACGCAGTACTTTGGATTCCAATGCATCGCTCTTATAAGCAGACATCAAAGATCTTCTCCACCATGACTTTCATTCATTTTAACAGAAGAATATAAAATATCTCATAATCCAACTGCATCGTGTTTTTGTGTGTTTGTACGTACACGTGATGCCTTTCTCCAGGCATTCATAGAAGGCACAGGCACAGATCTGCACTAGAAGCGGTGATGGGAACCTCCGAAATGCTTTGACCTCTCTCAGTCTGGTCAGGATAATGTCCACGTCCTCTCCTGAGCGCTCCGAGGGCCTGTGCGGAAAAGACCCACCATTAGCTCTCATATTAGGGGTCAAACAGTTACGTCAGTGGTGTTTAACCACATTATATAACTTGCTGACTGTGATGGATTATGATGAAGGATAGGAAATCAATAAAAAACCGGTAGTGTGCTTTGGAATTAGCTTCGTATTCATGTAAAATATCTGCAATTACCAGTAAAATATGTTAAAACATGAAAAATCAGTGGTGTACTGTTGCTGTCTACACATTTGTGAGTGTGCGTGTGCTTCATTGTTCAGTCTGGTGCCTCGGCGATAACAGTAGAGAGCCGCAGGCGTTACTTCGCTTGGCTCAGACCCCCCACAGGGGTGTTGATGTAAGATCTCATTTGCACGGCAGCTATTTCTAATACGCTTAAATCTAAGCACACACGGGCACGTCACTGCTGGAAATCTGGGCGAGCGAGCAGACACGAGAGAGCACACAGAAGTTTCATCTGAGAGCTTAAACGTTCTGCTCTGCAATGTGGTGGTGAAGAAAAAAAAAAAAGAAAACAAAATCGTCTGAGAGTAACACGCTGCAGTTAGCCCCATTCATTCACTTGTTTTCCCTCTGCTCGTGACTCAGCCTTGCATGTGTGTGTATGTGTGTGTTCATACAGAATAATAATGCAGCGTGGGTTCTTTCCTTTAAAGACAGGAGGCTGACTATCCCCAATCCTCCTTCAGCTCCTTCCTTTTCCCTCACTCCCAGCTTTCTTCTTCTTCTGCCTAAACATTTCTCTGATCTCCATCTCCATCTATGCGTGCGTGTTTCTCTCAGGATGATGGAAAAGAATAAATATCCCCCGTTTTTCTTTAAGCTCCCTATTTTATCCTCTCCATTACTGCCCCCCACTAACATACTCAGACGTATATCATGCCATTACTATCCCTTTATTTATGCTTTGTAAGCTCACAGGCAGTGGTGACCCCCTCTTTACCCACATGTGCACACAGAGATAGACACACATATATCTGGGTTCCAAAGCAGCAGATTGTCCTCAGTAGCTGGGACGGTACTCCCAGAAAAGCAGACTGTGCTCAAAGAGCTGCACTGCACAACATGTCTCCCAGACCCACAACATCTGCCATTACAAACAGGTATTCTTTGTGTGTTTCTGCCCCTTTTTTCTCATCTCTGACTCACCCTCCCATCATCCACCTACTGCCTCAGTGCTCCAGCAGAGCGTCATATCCCACAGTGGGCTGGGTTAATGGTTTAGACAGGTGGACTCCCACACTCTGCAATAGGGAGAAACATGGAGGTTGATTCTGCAGGGTTAGAAGTGCAACACGAGAGCCAACCCTTCACCTCTCCGTCTACAGTGAAACTGCTAAGATCTGTCAGTTCCAATTTTCTGCTCAAAGCCTTGTTGTTTTGTTCTTTCTCTTTTCGTTGTCATGCATGCGCTTGCTCACTCGCTCACTCGCTGCCTGTCTGGAGGAATCTGCCTCGCCCGTTGGTGTACAACCAATGTGACCTGAGAGCTGTTCACCTTATCTCACTCTCCCTCCATCGCCCTTCTCTCTCCTCCTTGACTTCTCCTTTACTCCACCGCCCTCCCCCACCGTCCTTGTCAGCAAAGATCTCAGCTTTCAACCACACATTATGGCTAAACAAACACACACACACAAAGGATTTACGAAAAGACCAGCGTGACACACTGCAGAGGAAACTGAGAGACACCAGAAGGTTCTCCAGATTATTTTAAGGAAACCTCCATCTGGGTAGTCAAAAAAAAAATCAGTGTTTCCAGACAAATACATTATTGGCTGACCAAAATGTCAACAGAAACATGTTTCCTCTTGTGGCAGATTCAAATGTTACTGTGGCAGCGTTCTTTCAGAACTAATCTGTATCACCACTAACAATCTGAGATCCTGTTAAAACATCATACACACTGATCACTTTTCAATTACATCATATTACTCACCCAGCCTTTGACATTTGCAAATTACAATACATGTTCCATGGAGGAAACATTAGGCTTAATTTACTTTATCCTGGTATGTTGTCAGAAAGTGTGACAACTGCCAACAGAGTGTGTGTGTGTGTGTGTGTGTTGACTGGACCGTCTTTTACCTTCTTGGGGCAGCACTGAACAATACCTATCAGATCTTATTTCACATATTTCACACTCACTGGCAATAAATGTCTTTGGACAAATATATCAGAGTCCGTTTTATCTTAACCTCGTGTCTTCCACCTTATCCTCCCTCTCCCTGCATCTAATTCCTCACTCGCTCACATCAACAGTTACTGTGGATGAAAGCTTGCACACACACACACGCATGCGCACACACGCACACACACACACACACACACAGGATATTGATTGAATAAATGGTGCATATAGCTGAGGACCACTCAGTGCTCTACAATAACACCCGGTCAAGTCTACTCTTCTGACTTAGCCTGCTCTTACTGACACCCACTGCTTATGGGCTGCATCTAAGATGTATATTGTTCAGTGTTGTTGTCAAAACTCCCGATTTGTCAACATAGCATAATAATCAATAATCACACCCCTCCGCTTTGGACTGATCAATTAGTCAATAGACAGAAAACGTATTGTCAGTAATGGTTATTTTAATTCAATCCAGATAAAGAAATGTCCACGACTTCAGAGGGTTCAGCTTCTCAAATGTGAATATACAGTGATTGTATAATATTAAGTGAACATAAAGCTGTGGGTTGAACAAAACATGCCCCCTTCTCCTTGTGATTTTTGACTATCGTCTTAGACTAAACAATTAACTGATCAATCAGCGGATTCATCAAATATCAAAATAATCTTTAGTTGCAAATACTTTTTATGAATGAGAAAACAGAAGTGCATGCACCCAGTCTTATTCCAGGTGAGGATGAGCAAACAAGATGGTAGCTTCTGGTTGCCATTGGTAACACGAGGATGTGTCATAGTGAGGTGTGCACAGAACGTGTGGGTGTATGTCTTAGATCATTGATTTTTTTTTTTTTTTTAGGTGTGAGATGTATCATCTGCCCCCTTCCAGTAATTAGTGCACAGTTGCCTTTTCATGTGGTCATTAGAGCCATCTCTCTCGGTAATGAGGCATTATACCTTTATCAATTATCAATGGTGCAGCCGGACAGCAACCATGAGATGTTCATAATCTTCCTGTAAAATGATTAGTTCAGGTACTGTAACCTGTTCAGTCAAACACCCTCACATGCTGCACTGTGGCATGTAATGTTGGGAAACTGTGTCTCTGATCCTTATGTCCATGTGATGACTAACACACACGCCCCAGTGGTGTATTCTTTACAGTGAAGCTGTTTGATTTAAGCACACAGACATAAACCATGTGCGCCTCATCAGCCATCTTCCACAGCACAGACGTGTCAGTGAACCTCGAAGCCACCAACGCCTTTTTGACCGAGGACATTGAACAGCAGGGATTTCATGAAAAGGTGTAAGATTACTCTGCTCTGCAGCTTTTGCCATTAGCCGACGAGGAGTGTGAATCCACTGAGAATAACAGGAGTGGATGACATGACACGATATTACGCTATTACTGCGCGCACACACACACACACACAGACACGCACGCAGCGATCGCCGGTTGCAGATGAATCACGTTGACGGGGATGAATGAAGGCGAAGACACTGTGATCGTGTGTGGAGCCGACTCACGCACCTTTTATCCAGACAGCAGATCCACTCCGCCGCAGGAGCCGAGGTGGGGGACGTCTGCACCGCGACCATCTTCCCTGGTTGGTGTGTGCTGATGCTACCGGAGGAGGCTCTCCCGGTTTGTCGGTGGTCGTTACTGGATGTGAGCTCCCCGCCCCTCCGCCGCTACTGCTGCTGCTGGTGATGATGATGAGGATGATGATGATGATGCCTTTACCCAGGCATGCAGATGACTTGTGTCAGTCTGCCTGAGTGAGCTTTGTGAGGGCAACAACACACACACCCTCGCTCACACTGTGCTGCATGCATCAGGGAGAACTTGACATTTTACAGACTATATGGCCAAGAGGACTCAACAACATGTCAGAAGGTGCAGGAAGATCATTGTAACTATTTGACATATAACTGAGCACAGGTACAACTGGGTCAGGAGAAAATAAACATGTTTTCTGACATGGTAAATTGATTAAAATGTCAAAAGATCTTCTCCTTTGTCCAGATCTGGGCCAAAATGTAGTGGGTTCTTTCCATGTTCCATCCTTCCATCAGGTTCCATGGCAATCTGTTCAGTAATCCTGCTGATAAACAAAAAGACAGGGGTGCCACCATAACCTCCATGGGCCAGGTAATAATTATAAATCAGTAATGAATTCCTTGGCTCACTCTCATGCTGTACTGGCTCAGTGGGATACTTGAGTGCAACAGAGCCTATACTCAGTGTTATTAGTAACATTAGAGCTGTTCTTGCAGTGGCTGTCAAAAAGTCTACTCTTAAAAAGGCCCATTGGATGGGCAATGTTGTTCACAAGTCATTTGGGGATTTTTAAAAAACTATTTAGAAATGAAGCTGTGATATCTATTGAAAGAAATGATTTTGGTTTGCATTAAGAATTATAAAATATGCTATTCACTAAAGAGGTAGGAACAGTAACACAGAAAAGAAAATTATGTCATGTTTGCAGATTTAAGTATAAGAAAATCTTAATTTAATGAAATATCATATTACAATAATCAAGATTTCAGATGTGATGATGTTTCTACCATACATACTGGTGCATAACCCGCCATATTTATAGACCAGTGTATCATAATGATAAATGGGATTTGGTCGGACACATGTCTCCTGACGAAAAGGAGAAAAGCAGCCAAATATGTGCATTGTCAGTATTAAGCTGACCATATAAGGCAGCCTTTATATGAGCCCTGGTTCTGCAGAGGCTCTGATGTAAATAAGCATCAGTGCAAGATGCTGCTGCCTTAAAGGATTCCATATCTGAGACGTTGTGTGAACAGCAACAAGGCAGCGTTATAGTTTCACTTGTTATGTTTCAACCCGAGTGATGACAGAGACACGGCAGCTGCAGAGATGCAGCCTGTCACCGGGACGTCCGCAGCCATCGCAGCAAAGGGAGGAAGAAAGGGAGGAGGGATGGAGACGGAGAGGGAAGCTGATGAGAAGAAGAGATGTTTGAAGCATTCAGCCCTGCCTAAAACTAGAGATAACTTATGTGCCATGCATATAAAAACAGTGGGAGAACAACAGAGAGAACAGCAGTTGTAAAGAGGAATTTGGGGATGTGTTCATATCCTGCTCAAAAAAAAGCACAGCAGGACAGACAGTAAGAAGAAGATAAGGGTTGTCTGTGACATGATGAATGAGACATAATGGAGGAAGGAGGAATACTATTGAAATGCAGGCCCTAGTTTCCTTCTCCTCCTGCTGCACATTGATGTTGTAAAAGCTATTAGTTCTGCTGCATCAGGTGAATTGTTATGTGAGAAAGAACATGCATGTGGACGTTTAAACTTGCCTTACTGCGTCTGTCTGAAATGGCACTTCTGCACGCATGCATGACTGAAATACTGGCAGGTGATTCAGCAGGTTTTCACCATACTGTTAAAAAAGAGGTGTACGTGTGTGTCACTGCCAACGGTTTCGGAAAGAGCTACATGAAATATGTGGAGACATGAAAACTACATTACTATAACAATACAGTAGAGCATAAGAGCAAAGAATGAAATAATGGTTTTAACAGACATCTAGACACAAAGAGGCAGTATCAATTTTTATGGATTTATAGATGAATTAAAAGTTGAACAATAAAAACTTGTTTAAGGGAAACAGACTAATTTACAGCACTGTATAAACTAACTGTGCAGAGCTGTTGCATTGTGCTCATTTAAACTGCTGACTGTCTGTAAATGTTCAATTCCCTTGTGAAGTCTAAATATGGTTGACTGAACAGACAACCATATGGGGTATGACTGTCTGCATGACTGACTGACTGACACACACACACACACACACACACACACACGATGATCAGCTGTCAGACAGTATCTCAGTTCAGAGATGGTATCTGTCCTTTTCCCTCTAGTTAGACTCTTTACAATCTACAGTGTTAATCTACTAAAGTCACACAGATGCTGAATTTCTGAGGCAAATATAAAAAGATCACATAATGCTATAGCAGTTATTTGTTTATATAAGCTCAATACATTACATTAACATTTTTTACAATGATCCATTGAACTATTGTCTGATATAATAGCCACAAAGATAAGTACTGAGTAGTATGGTATTATAGTTCAAGGACAGATGAAGATATAGTTGGCAGTGCTCCCTGGTGGACAAACTCTGTAATGTCGACATTAATCTATATCTGTTGCACCTGACATATACCCAATGCAGATATAAAGTATATGGATGATAAACTGAGATTAGAAAATACATCTGTCTAGTTAATAGAATAAATCGGGACAGAAAGCAAATGTGCTCATGAATCTGTGTCTTCTATTATTTGTGTTAAGGCAATAACATCGATTATTTAGCTCTCGTTAAAATACGTGCTCAGCAAAACACTGCACACGTTCATCCATCCACCTGCAACTGACACCTACAGCTCAACACTGACTTTGTGCGTCTCTGTGTATGTGTGCATGTGAAGACACGACTGTCGTAGTGACTACGTTGAAGTAAAAATCCCAACGTGAGCCTGAGGAGGGAGCAAAACAAACTTCTGCAGAAGTCAAGGTGACCTGCTGCTGGTCAGAGAAATGGGAGTTGAGGATTATGACGGCATACACAGATCTTTGTATTTCTCATCCTACTCGCCTATAAAACACCACTGCTGCTGTAAACAGAATTGATTTGCCTTTATCCTACAGCACTTATCATGCCTGCAATGTGCTGTTTTCTCCACCTGCACCTCTCAATTCATATAAATACCATACCCTGAATATTTCTCTCTGAAACAAATCCAGGTTAAATTTCTCTCTCCCCTCTTTGTCTCCAGTGACTCTACCTCACTCACTATCTTACTATCTCTCTATACTTTGCCACCCACCCTGACATCACTCCCTCATTTACAGTCTCTGCTTCAAATTCACTCTCCCCTCCCTCCCCATCCTCTCATGGTTAGCCTCATTCAGGAGCGGGCTTTTGTGATTGGCCAGTATTTATATCAACTAGGTCCCAGTGCCACCTGGGACAATGGTCTCCAGTCAGATCCAGGTCACAGCAAGCAGAACCATTCTTTGGCACCGCACGGATCGGTCCAGTCCAGTGAAGTCTGGTCCAGTCCATCTGCCACGTGAGCCAGCTTCACAGACAGAGACAGGTACTGCACCGACTCACCCACCGGCATCACACACACAAACACAGGTAGGCACACACATACATCGGCAGGTGCTGCATCACTGCTCTTGTTTGCCTCACACACAGGTAGATGGATAGTGGGAAATCTGGCTGACTGTACTAACCTGCATCATGCTCACAGGTGAATATTCACACAGAGCTTACCTCTGAGCCCAGGAGAGCCTCTGTCACTGTGGTATCGGCTCTCACAGCAGATGGCAGCGCTGGCACTGATGCTGAAAGACAGGTAAAGGTAAGTGAACGCAACCTGCATGCTTTTAATAGTAGTGTTAGGTGCAGCTAGATTATACGTATACATAGAGCTGGATGATAAGTAATAACATTAATCGTCATGATCAATAGCAATAGAGCAAAAGTGCAATGCAAATGCATTGTGCAACAGTGATAAGACAATAGAACTATCTTAGAATTGCTGTAGACAAGTCAAATTATAATCACATTTCTAAAGCACTGATAAAAAATAAACTGCGGTTGACCAAAGTGCTGCAGAATAAAGGAAGACAATGCAAGAAAGGGTAAAATAAAATGAAATAAAACTACTATGATGTGGATAAAAACAACTTAAAGGAATTGAAAAGCCTTTGAGAAAATATAGGTCTTCAGTTTTGTGGTAAATGTGTCAACATAAGGGGATTTTAAAGTGTTTGTCTTTCTCTGGAATTAAAACCGTTTAAAACCACAACCTTGACTCTGGAGGGAAAAGACATTGATGTCATTTTTGGCCAGATCACCATCATGTAGAGTTTATGATGCCAAAACATCTATTGAGGAAAATGCACAGGACTTAAACACTATATCTTTCAATTGTCAGTAAAATTATTAACATGACTTTACACTGCTTAGAAAAGGCTGAAGTAAGTAGAATATTGTTAAGATTCATGATGTAACTAAACCCTCCACATGTAGACTGACTTGCCCCGGAGCCGGTGTCTATACTCACCCGCCGGCCTCCCTCAGATAGTGGGGTAGTTTACACAGGATTACCGGCGGATCATCCACTTAGAGTATTTAGAGACATGAGTCGCCATCTGTCTGTATTTATCGCAGCGAGGGAGGAAGCCACCGGCTGCCTGCAAACAAACAACACCTACGGTAAGAGCGGCAGTCGGGTGAGGAGCAGGGAGACACGACGCTTCTACTACTAGAGTTTAATAGTTAACTAGCCGGGCTGTTTCACGCTTACATCTGTTTTTTTACCGACGGTCCGTGAACGAGGCAGCGGCCTGACGACTGTCGCGACCTTTGAACTGCGCGCGCGCTCCACACAGGTTAGTGACACGTGTTGCCTTCCTACGCCCTCGTAAACTCTAGCTTTCCCCCTTATGCGTTCCTTTTTTTAAAATATATATAGATATATTCCTTTCAGCCACAAAGCTAATGTACCACAAATATTTCTTTTTTAGTTTTAGGGTGCACAAGACTAACATTTCGGTTTTCTGCATGTGTATTACAATGATTCAGACAGACATAATAAGCTTAGCGCCTTAAACGACTGCTGCCAAACGCAACAATTAGCTCTTTACATGACAAACAGTGGCAACACTTAAATAACAAAATTTGCCAAACACTAATGACTTTTCATTTAATTTGTATAGTAGTGGGTATAAACATTCATTGCTACGTACCTGCACAATCCATTCTCTCCCATTTCCGGCTGCACTTTAAAGCAGCACGAGGATTCATTACAGGTAAATCATAAATACCTGCGTCCATTATCTCACTCAACTGATCGTATTCACGTTAGTTTCACTGTTGTGCTGGAGCTGCTCTTCCAATAGATCTGTGAGTATAAGTACACGGTACAGAAATTTTTTTTAAATCCCAGTGTCATGAGAAAGCCACTTAGATAGTTTATAGTTTGATTTCATTTGTATTATTCCCCCCACTGTGTTGTGCTGTTTCACCATAATCGAAGTGTTCGAACAGCCAAAACTTAACCTTCCCTCAAACTTTTGCATTTCCAGGAGACGTTTGCAGTGGAGAAACCAACCTGAAGACCATGAAGTTTCCAGAGACTGCCATCGTCACCTGCTGCCACCCAACAAAGGCAGTAACCGCTTAAAACACCAGCAGCCCCATTACCCAGCACATTTCTGGCCTCATTGCTGCCACTCTGCTGAACCAGCAGATCCTCGAATATAAAGATATCTACCTGCTCAACATTTGCCTCATTGAAAAGCCTCCTCCTCAGCTCCTTCACAAAAAGAAAGCCTCCATTGTCAAATGATGCGGACGGACAACAAAGGCCGAAGTGCCTCCCCTCATAGGATAACCTACAAGTCTGACTTCCATGCCATCAAGTGCTCATTTGACTCCGGGGCACGGTGCTCATCTGTGCATACTAACAGGCTGCCCTCCAGCTCGTCAGACCCCACAATGTCCCACACCACCACCAACAGCATGGGCAGCAGGGGGAGGGTCCATAGCAACAGGGGGACCAAGATCAGAGACAACATCTTCCTCCAAATGGACAGTCATCAGCTCAGACAAGATGGTGGTGCTGTGGTTCTGAGTTCCAGCTCCCCGCCCCTCCTCTCTCCTGGCCTGCAGCTCCAAACCTCGCCTTTCCCTGGATCCAGACGTTCACTCATGAGTTCCTCGTCTGTCATGAGCACCGTGGCCAACATTTCCACCCCAGAATCCTCTCTGCAGGACAGACCTTCCCTGACAGATGAGATAAAGGATATCGACAGAGCCGCACTGGCTCAGAAGTTCTCTGTTACCCGGAGGTTGTTTGAGACCAAGGTGATGGAGATCGGAGGACTCTCGAATCCCGAGACTGGCAGGGGAAGCAAGGGGGTGGCAGATGGGAAGGTAGAAGGAGAGGACGGGAGAGGAGGAGGAGCCAAACAGGTGGAAAAAGAGGAAGAGGCGAGTGGGAAGAAGGAGCATGGCTCTGATAAAGACAAATCCATAAACCTACCTGTCATTAATATCTCCTCGCAGAAGCCCCCTGCACCCACGTCACTGACAAGGCCCCGTAACTCTGCTGGCCCTGCGGAAGCATCTGACAAATCTCCTTCCTATCATCTCAAACACGGTGAAACCACAGGAACACGGGCAGAGGAAGAACGATCAGAAAGCACTGATCTTGACCTCTGCTTGACCCCTGAGGAGCCAGTGAGGGCAGAACTTGTCGACGTAAATGCAGATTCATCCGAAAGCGACGGGAGTGAAGAGGAGAAGGAGCAAAAAGAGATCAAAGTGTGGTTTAAAGTTGAGGAGGAAATGAATGTGAACGCAATCGCAGGAGGAAGTGTGGAGGCCCTAGAGGATGATGTGTTTGAAGAGTCCAGCGTTGAAATAATAACAACAACAGCAGCAGCAGGAGGAAGGCCAGTAGTTTCTTCAGAAGAACGCCATAGGCAGGAACGTGTAACAGACAAGTATCAGCAGGTGGATGGAGGACGGGAGGGTGAAAGGGAGGAGCAGAACGGAGAGTTCACTGCACGAAAAGAAGAGAAGTCAACAGAAAAGGGGGACAACATGGACAAAATGACAGATCCAGGAGTGGAAGAGGGTGCTGGAAGGAAAGAGAGGGAAGTTGAGTGGAAGGGGAATGATGAACGTGTGCAAAGTCAAGAGGAGGAGATGTCTGAAAATGAGGAGAAAAGGCAGAAAGGAGAAGGTACAACGTCTGAACACGCCCAAGAGGAGGTGAAACATGTGGCGTGTGGAGGAGGCAGTGATGGAAACGATGACAAAGAGGACAAGACAGGATCTGTGGTAATCTGTGGGATTGAGAACAAGGCTTTTGTGTGTGATCGGGACTCCCAGTGTCCTCCAGAACATTCGAGACAGGACTTTGGAAAGGCGGCAGATCAGTGTTTATCAGAATATGAGGAAATTCCTGGCGTTCCTGATCAGGATGATGAGGATGCATCTGACACGAGGAAGAGAAAGGTCAGGTTCTCCTCAGCACCAATCAAGGTAAGGAAATCTTTAAGAAAATCACACATATGAAGGCATTCAGCATCTGATGTTCAGTTATTTGACAGCTGCAGGGTCACTTGTCTCTAAAGCCATGTATTTATGGAGGCTTTGGTTGCAGAGTTGTGTGACTGTCAGTTCCAGCTGCTGCTTAAATCTATACAAGACACGCTTTAGCCCAGAGCCATGTTTCTGATCCATTAAGGGAAGGGAAGAAGACAAGATCCCACACGCTGCATTCTGTCAGCAGTTAGCTCAGAGGTGCCTAGATACAAAAAAGCACCGCAGCCTGGCCCTGTTCATCGCAGACTATTGCAGCAGCGGTTAGTGTGTATTATCAGCATCTCACACATGGGAGTTGTGTTTGCACACTGAGATTTTTTCACTCATATCTTTTCACTTTGTGAATTTCTCACTCAGATTCTCTCGCTTTCTCGCTGACAGATTTGCCAACATAAACAGTGTCGTGTTGTGTCAATAGCTGCAGATGGTTCTCTTTACAGTCTGCTCCACGTGTATTTGCTTTCAATGCAAAAAACTGTATTTTTGCTAGGCCGGAAGTTTGCATCAGTTTTGATGTAAGCTAAGGTCGTTGCAGTATTTTTTAAATGTATATTGACTGCTGTCCTCCAGGTGTACAGCACCTACTCTAACACAGACTACGACAGACACAATGAGGATATTGACCCAGTATCTGCCTCGGCCGAATATGAGCTGGAGAAGAGAGTGGACAGGATGGACGTCTTTCCAGTGGAGATAGAGAAAGGTTCGTTTTCCTCTGTGTGTTTTGTTCCATTTGTATTTCAGGGCCCACATGTGAAGCCAGAAAGAAAATAAATCATGTAACAGGTCACATCTAGTGACATATTTGTGATTGAGCAGTATTTTTTTTCAACCTTTTTGTGTATCATCAGTTATGTCACTCCAGTCATTTGCTTCATCTATTCAAGGTAGAGCCTTTATACTCAAACCAAACAACCTAGTTGGGCCTGTTTTCAAAAATAATGCAAGACTGATGTAATGAAATAGGTTAAACACAGAGTTATGGGATATTCCCACCTTATTTTAAGCTCTAAGTTTCTCTGATGTGTTTTCATTCTTTTCATTTCAGATCCTATTGCAGTCTTTGCCATGACTATTGCTGACATGAGGATAAATTCCTTATCTCTGTTCCTTTTTAGGACATGATGGTCTGGGTATCAGTATCATAGGAATGGGTGTAGGTGCCGACCAGGGACTTGAAAAACTTGGAATCTTTGTCAAGACAGTAACAGAAAGAGGAGCAACGCAGAAGGACGGAAGGTACATCTCAGAATCAATCTCTAGTTAACTGGGGATTCAGTGTCGCTCTACTGACGTGACTCTCTTCTGTGTGTGTGTCAGGATTCAAGTGAATGACCAGATCGTGGAGGTGGATGGGGTGAGTTTGGTCGGAGTCTCGCAGCTGTTTGCAGCCACAGTCCTCAAAAACACATCGGGCCTCGTCAAGTGAGTTACAGTGTCATAGTGTGATTGTGCTATGCATTGTTTTTATTCTTCATGCCACAGCTTTGCTTCGTCAGAACAGTCTCTTGTAATTCCTTCCACTCGGGAGAAAGACTGAGACAAGGTTTTGCTCACTGATGATTTAGATGAATTATGTATCAGAACTAATTTTGTCCTGGTGTTTGAAATGTCCCTTTTAAAACAGGAAGTGAAGTTATTTAAAGATGAAACGGTGAAAGTGAGATAAATATATTTTTGCTCCCACAGATGTTTTTACTGGCCAGTGGATCAGCTCCACACAATATAATATGTACTTTATATTAATGCCATCCATTTTCCAAAGCATACCATAGTGTTGATATTGTCTGACAATTTCAAGAATGCTTTACACCTGATATCTGAGGATTGAATCCCAGTCAGCAAAACTTTGTAATACCAGTGACCTCAAAAACAATTTTAACACTATTTTCAAGAAAATTTGTGATTTTCAAACTCATTACAACAGAATGTTCTCTTTAAACGAATCACCACAGAGTATTCAACATTGTCTATGCTAACATCTGTATTAATGTGATGTGAAAATATATTGTATATAATATATATTTTCACAGAAGACATGTCACAGTAGAAAAAGCACAGCTGTAAATATAATAGAAATAAAATTACTGATGGCTGAATTATTTTGCTGCTTCACTTTAAGGTTTTTGGTGCATGTCATCAATGTTATAGGTGCCACCTGTGTTTTAGCTACTGGGACAAGCTAAAATGTCCCACAACGCAATCTACAAGTGCATTATGGGAAGTGTTGATTGCCTGCAGCTGTAACTTATTCCCCTCTTCTGGCTGCAGGTTTGTGATTGGTCGTGAGAGAGAAGGCGTGCAGAGTGAGGTCGCACGACTGATCAATGAAAGCCTGGAAATGGATAAAACATCCAGAAAGGTGTGTTTTCTAAATGAAGAGTTGAGTTTCTGAGTTGTGAAGAATTGCATACAGTTTCTTGCACTGTTTACTGTGTGTTTATATATGAAGAGGGAAAGAGCAGGCGGAGACGAGGATGATGATGATCGCAGCGTGTCAGAGAAGGACTGGGTGGCTGAAGAACAAGAAGAAGAATATGAGGAGGAAGATGAAGAGGAGGATGTGTCTTTACTGTCCAGTCTGGACAACTACGAGCTGTGCCTCAAATACCAGCAGGTACTTTACATCCAATGTGGACTCACTGACATGCATTTAAACACACTAAGGCAAAGCAATTATATTTGCATTAATTTCATTGTAGTTTTATAATGTAGAGCAATAGATATTAGTCTGCATTATCCCTTCCCTATTATGTAAAATGGGTAGTAGTTTATCTCCTTCCATATAAATATGAAAATGTTTTAAATGATCCATTATAATTCACAGCCCTATTGTTTTTTTGTTTTTTTCATCTCTGTAGCTTCAGTCAAATCTACGACGCAAAAGGACCCAACTTCACCACGCTAGAGAAAAGGTAGGTCACTCAGTTGAGATTGAAATCTCACACACACACAATAACTGTACTCACTTTAATACACATTTGCATCCACTCTCAGAACAGTCTGACCCATTTAACTGTGCACGAGGTGGCTCGGCGTGGAATTATTAGGACACGGGCCATGTTCCAACAATGTTCCTCATCAGCCTCGCTCTAATGCCTTTTGCTTGAAGTAATTACCAGTGTGACATAACTGGGTTGCCTTTCTGTCAAAAATCTGGCTTCCTTCTATCCAACTGATCAGTGAATACCTAATTTACTGAGTCGAAACTGGCAAAGAGGATTGAAGACGTACACTGAATATTCTTTTGGGCCTTTTTTGAAGCCCTTTCTTTCCCCTGTTTTTATGAAATTATTTGTAAATGTGCATATATCAAGACATGTAATAAATGCTGTGTTTTTCAGTTAAAGGCATGGGAGGAGCGGCAGGCGTGTTGGGAGGGTCAGAAGGCCGAGCTGGAGCAGAGGGCAGAGGATGGAGAGGAGAAGGCTGAAAAGCTAGAGAAGTACGATCCCGTAGAGGCTATGCTTTATTTTTATTTGTGACTTTTTTTCTGTAGGATGCATGTGTTTTGCCATGGTAGAAGCGATTTCAAGTTTAAAAGTACATACATAGTTGGGGCTTGAAGCTTAAAGCCTGTAAAATGTAGAGAAACTTTTCAAGAAAGTATTAATGGCTGTCCCTCTGTTATCAGGTATTGGCAGGAGGCCCAGACACTGTGCAGGGTTGTGAGCCAGCGACTGGCCGATGCCCAGAACCAATCAGAAAGCCTGGAGATCAAATACAGCAAAGCCAAGAGACTGGTCAGAGAATACCAGCACAGGTATTTATTAAATCTGTCAGTGTGTCATCCATAACATTTTCGAATATTACTCCTAAACTACTGAGGTGTATTTTGTAAGACAATAAAATTGCTTGATTCCCCCATAGATTTGGAATTTAACTTTTCAAACAATGTGTTTCAGAGAGGAGGAGAGTGAGGGAAGAGAGGCTGATTTGAGGGGAGAAATGGAGGAGAGAGATAAGCAGCACAGAGACACTGTTGAAAGACTGGAAATCCAGGTGAGAGGGGGTTTCTCAATCCTGAATGGATTTACTTCACTGAGGCTGCCATTTCTGCTTTCACACCGTCTGCCACACTTTGTCACAGATAGCACAGCTAGAGAGGAAAGAGCCTGTAGCTGAAAGAACGAACCACTCTGCGGACTCTTCACTCTTAGGTACGTAGCTGTATCACTGAGTGTACAGTTTATTTCTGTTTTTTAAATGATTTAAAGCCAATGAAGAGGGAAACTTTAACTTTTTTTTTTTTTTTTACAAACCCCTTGAAACAAAATGGGCTTTTTAACCAAACAAAAGCAACCGTTTGTCTCAGGTCCACACTGGTATATTCCTGTCCCCGATACAGTGCGTCTAGACTCCAGTGCTCACAAAGCCAGAGCTCAGCTGGCCCAGAAGTCTAAGCGCCACCCGCCCTCACGAGACAAACTACGGGAGAGTTTTAGAAAACCGGTAAGTGGACAGACCAGAAAACGTGGCACTACATTTTGCCATTTCAAAACTGTCAAAGCTAAACTTGTCCCCACACCGGTCTCTTATTGCTTTTTAGGAAGATGAAGCCCAGAAACAACATGAGATACAGTCACTGTCTGCTCCCACAGTGATACAAAGGAGCAGTAGAAGTGACGTGTCCAGTACGTCCTCAGCCCTCAGTCCTCTTCCTCCCACCAGCTCTGTCTTCACCCCTCCGATCTACATCACCGACACTGTCACCCCTTCCCCATGCAAATCCTCCACCTCGAGAAAGTCTAAAAGGAAATTTCCAGACTTCAGGTATGGTCTATATCTTAAGTCATATATTTATAATTTGAACATTTTATCCCATATGAGTTTAAAGCCATGTTAGTTCATAGATTCCCCTTCAGCCATAACAACGTTCTGACACCCAACATCTAAGTTGCTTGTTTTCCAATATTCCTGATAGCTTTGAGATATTATTTTAATGATCTGTTTTGTTTTCAGCGGCTTTCGCAAGTCTCTCAGCAAAAAGAGGAGTGAAAAACGCAGCAGGAGGTCCATGACCAACAGGTGTGATGAAGTCATACACGCACAAATAAACTTGTCTATATTTTTTGAATTTGCTTAAAATTTGAAATTAAAATGTAGTCATATCCTTCTAGCAGGGGGTCATGTGGTGACCTGGTGGACGAGCCTCCTGAAGTGTCTCCGTCTGGTTCAATCACCTCCATGCCCTCTTGCTTGCCCTTTCCCTGGTTTGGTGAGAGAGGGAGGGAGAAGGAGGAGGGGAGAGGCAGGGAGAGGCTTTGCTCTGTGTCCAGCAGCAGTTTGCCGTACCTGACCACCACAGGACGAAGAGATCAGGTAAGAGAAGCTGCACGAGTACACTGACAATATGTGCACAGTATGGCTTTATTTTGGCTAAGGCAGTGTTTAGTTCTCCCAGGCTTCTCTGCATGCTTCTCCCCCCTTTCTTTCCACTTTCTGATGTAGATTCTTCTTTAGATAGATCTCTTAAATTCCATTTTTAAAGTAAACACCTTGTGCATGGGTAAGCATGGGATAGATGTGACATGTGCCAGCAGCCCAGGTTTGTTTTCTCGGTTCCAGAGTGTTGGCTCTCCAGTGGGGAGCTCCAGCATGGTGGGCCATGCCTCTGATCACTCCCTCTCTGGACACTCTTACACTTTCACCTTTTCCTCCACTGAGGTGAGACTATCCTTCCCTTCCTTGCCCCTTTCCTTACTTCCTTTCCTACAGCGCACTCCCTGTCATGCAGTTCTTTTAATCTCCCAAGCTACTCTATTCATTAACTACAGTTTCCTCTCATTTTACTCTGTCCTCGTCTCTGGTGTCTTGTCAGACGTTGGACGATGACCCAGTTCCCACCAACAACAACAATCAGTGGCAAAGTCAACCTGTCTTGGAGTGGAACAACCAGCAGGTGTGTCTGTGGTTAATCGCCATGAGCATGGATCAGTACGTGTCTGAGTTCGCCACCAGAGGAGTAAACGGGTCACAGCTGCTCAATATGGACAATGAGAAACTCAAGGTGAGCAGTAAATA